CATCTAACTAAGGTACAAAAATTGTCCCTCCCCATTTAGAGTGTACCTCAAAATATCAAATTGGGCACGAACTTTTATAAGCAATCTTTTTGTGTACAGTCAACATAGAAACCCCAAAGTTTGAACAGATTCGGAAATTTACACTTGTGTGAGTGCTCTTGTCAGGGTTGTTTATTGTTGCCTGTAGTCTTGCCCATGGACATCTCTTATGTTGCGGGTCTATTGATTAGGTTTTTTTTCTAGAGGCAGCCTGAGCCTAGAGGATGAATTGCATCCACATCTTTCCTTAGCTAGCTTGTACACTCTCATCAAGATGGATGTGCGTGGTGCGGGTGGTATTGTGTCTCTCGCTCGCGCGCTAGTTCCACGGTGTATAGTTGGTCCACTAAATGTAGAGACCTCGGCAGGCCAGTCCCCATAGTGAGCACAATAGGGCTCCATTGTACTCACAATGGGAAATCGCCTGCCGAGCTGTCTACATTTAGTGAACCAACTATACCCTAGCTTTAGTGTGCTCCTTAAGGTCGGCCACCTTTGTACATTTTGGAACAATATTTCTTAACAAGTCTACGACCCAAACGCGCCCTGCACAAATGTCTACCAGTGGACAGTAATAGAGTGCAGATATTTCAGCTTGTTCATTTTTGACAATCACATGTCTTGTCGCACATATCTTAACTTCAGATCCAGACACACAAATTCCTTTTGGTGTTCGTCGTATGCTTGTACTTTAGCATTCCAAACAGCTGGCAACAGCAAGTTGGGGTCCACCGTTGTAAATAACCGTTGAAAGATCGGCAGATCAATGGTGGCATTGCAAATCTTGTAAGTGGGCTGGAAAAGCGGAGTTTTATATTACAGGCCTGCTAACTAAGGGATCATCCATAAAGTACGGTGATGGACGAGAGGGGGGGGGGGGGTAGCCCGGACGTCTGAGTGTAACTGTACTAAAACCGAAAAACTTTTCGGGGAAATTATTGTTGTTTTCTCCATTTTCTTCGCATTGTTTTCTCCCATTGGACTAATAGACCTGTAATATTGTATAATTCCCCTCCCCAAAACACATCCCTCAGAAACCACATAAAGAAAGTGATATTGTTAATTTGGGGTGGCCTAGGTGAAAATGGACGTCCAAAAGGGCAGAGGGGAGGGGGGGGGGGTCAACGAAATCATTCAGCGCTGGATAGAGGGAAAGGAGGGGGGGGGGGTAAGAGGCGAACAACAGCGGACGTACTCTATGTATGATCCCTAAATACCCCATCGAGTTTTTGGTTTGGAAGCCAATGGAAATTTACCTATATACACTTACCGATTCAAGCGGACAAATAAATGGTGGCTCTACTGATGCAAATAGTGGAGACCAGAACGCTTTCCTATCTGCGATTATGTTGCAGCAACGAGTTGCAAACCTTAAAGTATAGAAGTGCCTACAAGGAATGTTTGTTGGACACTGTACTAATTTCAGATTCGCCTATAAAAGTAAAATGTCAATATTAGAAACAAAGTATAATCTCAGTATAATGACAGGGTTGCGCCGTTTTCTTATGTGGGGTGTGACTTCAGCAGACTTGACGTATTGAAAATAAAATAAAATGGGCGACAGGTCTAAGAAATACAGTCCCCTCGATAAGGGACACAAAGCT